AATTGTGTCTACACTGGGAAAACTCTTCCCATTCCACCTGCAGGTGGTCCACGATGGGCAGATTAAGTGAGCCAGGCGGAGAAAAGAAAATGCTGGCTGCACTAGATCTGAGGCAGGGCAGGTTTTCCTCACCCCTTGTTCCCAGCTGTATTAACCTTACAGGTGGCTGTTTTCCAGACCACAATGACCGGAACAATAACACAGTGATACACTTTTTAAAAAGATGGAGAAAAGAAAGGCTTGCTCATATATTCTCAAACACTGAGTGGTATTCTGTAATGCCATTCTGAGATAACTGGCAATTTAATCACAGCCTCTTTAGAGATACCCAACTAATTCAGTTACACCACATAGTAATTCACTCGAACCCCTTCAAAGCAAATGCAAGCTGTGCCTTACCCAAAAATAGGCACTGAACCAGATGACCAATAAAGAACAGAAACAAGGAGCGGGAGAGAGACAAGCAGCTTGTAGGCAGTGAAATCTCCAGATTTCTGGTGGCAGTTTGCTGTTTGCAGGGACAAGTCACAGCTGCAGTGGAGAACAGGCTGCTCGATGTGATCCAGCGGTTAGACCCACTGGGGGATGAAAGTAAGCTTCCTACTCTGTTCTGTCCATCGCCATATCCAAGATATAAAGCAAGATAAGAGGAAGGGAGGAGGGGGACAGAGTCAGGCTGCAGTGTGACAAAGTATTTAAGAAAAAAAGCAAACCAGAGGAATGGAACAAAAGCATTTGAGCAAACACTTTATGCTTTAAAGTGCCTATACATTAAACAAGATTTACTGCTATTTCCTTTTCTCTCTCTGACATCTACAGCCTAATCATTCCAACAGCTGTGAAAATAAAGACTAAACCAGGATTCTTCAAACTGGGAAGCAGGACTCAGGCTAATGTCAGGACAAAGCCAGTGTTGCATCAAACTTTTTTTCTTTAAAACAGAGAAAAATTCTCATAGCTGGACTCCCACAACATAACCAGCTCATGAGCACAGACCAGCTTTCTGATTTTACACACCTCTCTTCTCAACAATGGCAGCAAAAGCTGTAAAAAAGAGGTTGCGTGAAAAGTTGTTCTTTCTTAATTGCCTTCCTTATTGCCTTTTTTTCTTCTTCTTCTTCAATTCACCCTTCCATTTCTCCCCAAAAGATCCCTGACCTCGGTGATGTATTGGTGTACTAGACTCTGCACACAGCAAGTACCAAAGCGCACCCTATAAACAAACAGCATCTGCTGACAGCGGGAAGAACACCCATGCTCTGCGCACACACCACAAGAGCACAAACAGGCACAGTATGATACCTGAATTTTGAAGAGCTTGCTAGGAATTTCACAGTTTGCTTACTGTCAAAATGAATATTATTTTTTTTCTTTTTTCTACCCGCTTGAATTCCTCCATCTCTTTGAAAAACAAACAAGCCATCATCTTAATTCTCTAAGACTTTCAGCTCCAGCTCACATCATGTAGACTGGCAGATGCCCAGGCAGAAACCTGAGGAATCAAGCTCCTCTTTAGACAGAAGAAAAAGTGGGACTAAAAGAAACACTAGAAATGTAAGATGTGTATGTGTGCACTCAGGAAACACCAGGTAGAGACAACCAAACCAACACCTTAAGGAACAGATGTCGCAGTTGCCTACCACTCGGACAACTGGCCTAATAGCCCAGCTCTATTAACAAATGTGGTACTCTCTACTTGCAGATGTCCAGAGCTTCAACTTTGGATTCACTTTATCAAAAATGAACTGGGTGGTTTTTCCTCATCTAATTTCACACTGTTGGCACAAATGAAATGCAAAAATAAGTTTTCCTTAAGTGAACCAAAGGAAAAAAACAAGAAGTTTGCTTGACAGCAGTGAAGTGTGCATATACTGATGAACAGAAATGACACTCTAAGAAAGCAACATAAGAAAAACAAAACCATGACATTTTGATATCTAGACTGCTTGTGAAATTGTTTTCAGTTAGTCCTATTAAGAGTTTACATTACAAAAAATATAACCTTCAGACTGACTCCCTCTAACTTCTTATAAACAGAAATGAGTTTTTGTGTAGTTAATATAAATGTGACAATTTAACGTAGTCATCAATAGAGCAAGGAAGCATTTGAAAATGAGTATGCAAAGCAGACAAAACAAAAAAGCTATATAAAGCACACTGAAGGTAGCTTTCCCCTGGGCAAAAGTTCCCGTCAACAGGCAATGAGTATGGAAATAGCAAAAAATCTGCCAGAGCTGCTGCTTTGTATGAGCGTAGCTCACACTGCACTGTACTGCACCTGTGACTTTCCATTAACACCCTGAGCTGAACTTGGCAAAACTGTCAATGCACTCCAAGAAGGAAACCTATACACCAGCTTCCTCATGTGTTTGTTCTGTTTTGTCCAACAGCACCTGAAAACTCAGTGCACCTCTGGCTGTGGGACACTGCAGCCCAACGACAGGTCAGTGCAGGAGCCAGGACAACTTTCCACTCTGCCTCAAGCTCCCGATCCTGTTTAATTCCAGAGCTCTGAAAGAAAGCAATTATACCATCCCTTTGAATTTTTAGATGCTGAAGGGTCAAGATTTAAAGCAGTAAAGCAAGGCCCATCTCACTTCATTAAATTTAGTATTTTGTAGAAAATTTCCCTATTCTTAATACAAAATTACACCCTTCCCTTGCCTTTTTCTATCTTTTCACTGTGTCCCTTTAATGAACCAGAAGTTTTCCAGTCCAATGCTTGCTCACTCTGGTCAGTTCCTCATGTGAGCAATGAAATACTGAAATGGAAGTGAGGCAAAGGAGAATCAGAAGTGCTAGAAACAAAATGAATTCAAATTTAGGAGGAGTCATTACATGTGTGTATTGTGAGATGCCACAGGTTCAGACAAACATTTACTTCACTTTGATGACTATCTTAAGCTTCTATAAAACTGTTTCCTACTTCTGAAAGGTTTTTGACAGGCAAGGTTGTAGTTTTTATGTTTTAAGTGAGAAGATCACAAAAGATACACTAGAATCTCTAACAAAAAGCAAGGCATGATCTTTTCACAAGGAGTCTAGCTTAAGCATTCATGTCAAAGATGAAGTTGTAGTTACTGCTTATTTTGAAAGGACAAGTAGTGGTGGTTTAAAGTATTAAATGGGTTAGGCTTTTTGCACTTGGGGTTTTACAGTTTATGGGTAAAATAATTAGCTTTCCTTTCAAAAATTATTAGCATCAACTTCTTCACTTTCCTTAGTGGGAGTCACAGATGGTCAGTACTGATGAAAACAAGACACACACACACTTATTTAAGTATAAAGGATCAACCATCTTTTGAAATTTCCTTTGAATATCATCTATTCACCTTGTCCCAAAAGCAAGTCAAAATGGTCCCCTCTATTTCCATCTACAATAACCTACAGTTTCTACACTAACTTAGCTACATGGAAGTGATGTGCCTACAACTGAGTTTGATGCTCTAACAGGTACCTAGAAAAGAAGCCATATGCCTTCAGAATGCTCTGGTTTAAGTAAAATGTAGATGTTAAAATCTTCAGTTCCTACTTAATATTGTTCAAAGTTTCATCCAAAAACGGAAAGCTGTCTGTGGTATTAGTGGTAGCCTCCTGCCTTTCCATGACTCCCTTCAACTTCACTCCTATGAAATAATGAACCTGTTCACCCACAAAAAAAAAAAGACGAGTGAGAGAATTTTGTTAAGATCTGGCCCCAGAGTACAAAACTCAGCTCCCATCAAAAGTTTCCACAAATCTCATCATATTCAGAAACAAATACAAAGCCTCTTTATGTGACTTGGCTTTAACTGAGTAATTTCTTTACAGATGAGTACATATTCACTCACTCACACAAGTCAAAATCAACCAAAATCATAAAATTATAGAATCATTACGGTTGGAAAAGACCTCAAGGATCATCAAAGTCCAACCCAAAGTAAAATAAACCCAACCAAAATAAAACTCTTCAAACTAATCAGACCCTTCCCCCTAAAAGATTGAAAAATCAATCACTGTAATGTCTAGTTTTGAATTCTCTTCACATGCTCAGATACATCAGCGGCACCGAAACAAGAGGTGTGGTACGTGTACAGCACTTCTCACCGGTCTGGCCAAGTCCTGATTTGGCCAATACAATTTTCAACTCTGTGAATCAAACCGCTGTTCTGCAGCTGCAATAAGTTACTCTGAGCCTGGTTATACATGTCAGTAGGGGGCAAAGAGCTCACACACTGCTTGGAGCACAGGACTCAAGGGACACGTCCCTTAGTCACTGAATCCAGCCCTGAAATTGCAGACCACTCATTTATTCCTTGCAAAAACTACCTCCATCTGGAAAGGGAAGCGTTTCCCTGTCTCCAGTACTCTTGTTGGGAGCCCATTAGATCCCAGTTACCAAGAGCTTTCAAGTCCTACTGGGTAGAAGGAGCAGAAGCTCTTTATTCAATCTTTTCAATATTCTGCATTTGCATCCTTGTCAAACTGAATGAATGGCAGCTAAAATCTGACAAAACCAACCAGTTCTTAAGTCAAACTCCAAGATCAGATGTAGCAGGTAATGGCAATGCACTCCTCATCACTTCTCTACGAGAGTTACCTGCCACATCTCAAACGGTAACATTTAATCAGGCTGGTATAAAATATATTAATGCAGCCTGACTTCCAGTGCCAAAGGCTTCACAGATTTAGTTCCTGTCACTACCTAGCAAGAAAAAAAGGCTGACAACTGGGAGTTCTACTCATTTTTTTTTTTCACAGCTTTGTTACTGTATGTCTGTACAACAAATGCAACATGACACCTCATCTGTAACATATTGATAATTGTTTAAATACATTTTCAGAAATAACCAAATAACCATGAAATAGTAAAACATCAGAATCAAGACTGAAAGATTAACCTCTCATGCCCTACAACAATTTAAGGATTATCTTCAGAAGAAAAATACCTCCAGAAATGAAACCAATGAAATAAAGACTTTTACAAATAACAAGAGCAGAAAATGTTTGAATAGTCTTACTTGTAGTTTTTCTCCCAGAACTTGATCGGTCTTGCGTATGATGCGATAAAGATGACGCTACCAAGAAATGGACTCAGTGGGGTAGAAAAGACTGAAGTGGCCAGAGTTTGAAAAAAAAGCATAGCAGAGTCTGAAAATTGCAAGTTAAGGTAACACAAATGATTTCATTATACTTTTAAACCACTGTTGAAGCAGCGCTTTCAACTATTTATTTTCACTTTTTTGTTGTTATTTATTTTACCAAAGAGGTAGTAGGGAAAGGAAACGAAGGCCAGCAGTGCCAAATTGCCAATTGCCAGCATGTAATCGGTGTCTCTTCAGTGCTACACAGTTGTAACGGAGGGGACATGCCTGAACAGAGCATGTTACCAGCAGGGTGACCCTGTCTAATCTCTGCCCGAGGACAGATCCTGAGCGTAGGCAGAGCGTAAGTGCCCTCCTCCAGCTACCTAGTGTACCTCCTATAACACAAAGTGCCTTTCCAGAGTCTGACACAGAGTTTAAAACACAAACCTCCCCAAAAGATCACTTTCTTGGAAGTTCTTCATTCTCTGCACTGGAATCTTGCTCCCAATGCGTCTAGTGTTCCATTCTGTGAGTTTCTGTTTATTTTTGAGTGATTTAGTATGTGGAGAAACAACTATGCCTCTATAATCCAGCCTGCTGACTTAAAATTATGCTTTCATGTTAATTCTTACTGACAACTTAATATACCACGCTGAGTGAAAGGTAAAAAATGCTCAACATTTCATACTTTTTGAAATATATATGAAATGAGAAGGTGAGATGGGGAACAGTAAATATCACACATAAACATCATCATGAATGCCTGAATCCATAGCTTACTTGAAATGTAACACCGTATTTCAGATTGCTAGAAAGCAAGTTAGGAGATGGATAGGGATATTGAAAAAGATGAAAGTTAAAAAGGACATGATTAAAAAAACCAAGCAAATGAAAATGTTAGGTTTTAATTCTTCATTAAGTCATACCACATCCATGAAATCTCAAGGAAAAAGTTTTCAAATTGGCATGAGAGACCAGTTGTCCTTCCATACACCTCCCTTGGGAGGAAGGTGCTAAGTAAAGTATCCATGAACTAAGGAGCCACCATCAAAGTACAGTGATCAAGTGCATCTCAAACTAAAATTAAGGTCAAAGCACCCAGTAGCCACAGTCTTTTAGCTTACCCTCTTATAGTAATATCCTGTATGTGTGCCCCACAGCTTCCAAGACTTTACAAAAAACACTTTAACACATGTAGCATCCTTTGTGGTACAATATTCCCATAAAAAGGCTAGCTAGCCATGCTTTCAAAGCAATTTGTAAAATCTACAAACAACTATTTGCCAAAAGATCTCTCTCAAATCCCTCAAACTTATTAAAAGAGAGTGGTCTGGAACAGTGTCTTTGTGCATTAGAGAGATTGGAAAATGAGCTGACCTCAGAGTTTTAAGTTCAAAAAGCAACAGAGAGCAGAGAGCAGGAAACAAGTGCATCAAAAAAGTTAAACTGTCACATTACACTTGTCATAACCAGCACTGGCTGTGAAAGATGAACAAGTATTTACAAGTGTCAGATAAGGGAAGGAGGCATGGGAGCTGAAGAGACAAAAAGAGAACAAGGAGGACAGATAAGGACAGAAAATCAAGTTTTCTAAAGAGAGTTCTAATGTCATGATTGATTTAAAAATTGCCACCATCATGAGTTAAGACATTTAGGACTCCACTGTGAACTGTTTCTGTCTGAGACATAATCAGTAGCAACAGTTTTATTTTTGCTAAAAGACATAATGCTCTACTAAATGTACATTGGAAGACATTTCCCATTTGACTTGTGAAGAGTGATTTTAACTGTTTTATATATGTAAGTATGTCATGAGAGCAAGTAACAGCACCAGATGTAGTTGTACAGTGGGCAATTATCTGTCATCAGGGGTTTTTCATTTTATGGTATCCAATTTGCTTTTATTAGGCAATTCTTTTTTTTTTTTTTTAATACCAATGCTTTAATTATGTCTAGGTAAAAATTATAAAAGTAGTAACAAAAACTTACAGGCATACTTTCTTACTCCATGTCCCAAACCAGGTCTCCTGTGTACCATCTTTGTTAGGTCATACTGTGCAGAAGCAGAACTTGTTTCTTTGTGAATAATGGATTTTCTTTTTAAGATGGCCAAATCAAATTTTGAGAAAAAAATAACTAAAAACTCTTCAACATGAAATAGAACATTGTATTTGAGGATTTATTCTTATAATTTAAAAATCTGTTTAAATACAAATCAGCCTCAAAACAAATATTTTAAAAATCTTCTATCCCCTTCTTCTAGCACAAAACTATGTATTAAGGGCAGCCCAAATCCTCTGTTTCTCAAAACCCACATTTCTAATTGCAATTACTATAGGCCAAAAATGTTTGGTCACTCCAGGCACAGGATCATCTAGAGGATGGGAGAACCAAGTGTCACAGGGCTTCTTTTTCTGATGTTAGAGCTGTAAACCTGAAACAACTACAGAAGAAACTCTCATAAATAGAATAATCTGAAATACAAAATCCTTTATTTCCAAATCTCACTGTTCATTTATTAGATAAAATCTTCCTTTGACTACGAACCACAGTGACATTCTCAGTGAACTGATAATTATAAACACATAACCTCATCTTACTAATTTAAACACTGGGAAGTGAAGTTGCAGATCTCTCCTCAAGTCAGAAGCCTGCTCCTGGTCTTTCAGGTTTAGGAGGGACTTTGAGTCACCTAGTCCATCAAGCAGCCACAAGTCAGGATCAGCTAAACTTCTATGATTCCTGATAGTCATTCATCTAAATTCCTGAAGATCTCTAATTGTGGAGGTTCCACAACCTCCACCAGGCAAAGCTCCATGCGTTGCCCTTCATGCCCCACACACTGGAATCAAATGCATTAAAGCTTCTGGAACTACTCATATCACTGAGCTCTATGGCCAAAGCTCACAAAGGCATGTCAATATTTAAAAATTTATGTCCCCTTTGCAGATGTGATTTAGGCAATTAAGAGCCACAAATAATTAACTCTGCAAAGAAATTGCATCCTTAGTGCCTCTGCAAACTGCAACATACATTCATCATTACTGTTTGCGGGGTTATGGTAACAACAAATAAAAATCTTGTGCAAAGAGGCAGAGTTATTGCTGTTGTGGGAATAGTAACTTGGGCATTTAACCAGTATCTTAATTGAAACATTGCCTTAAAAGACAGATTTGAATTTACAAAGCATACTATAAATATAAATAATAGAAAGCTAGTCTAGAACACTTTAGCAATTACTGTGTAAATAAACTAAACCCTGCTTAGTTAACTACTTTCCCGTTTGCAAAGCTTAATTGGTACTTTTACCAGGAGTAAAGTTATCACTGCACAAAATATTTGTGACCAGGGGAAACCTGTTAAAATATAATCTTAGTTCTTAAATGTATTGCTAAATAACCTTATACACTTCTGCAATTCACACCTACAACAGACATGAAAATAATTTTTTGTTGTCAAATTCTGGAATAGTTTGCTTCAAACCACTCAAAATGCTCAGACAGATCACTGTGCTTTCCTTTCATAAATAGACAATCTAAAGCTTCCCCTCTGGGAGTTATTCTATCTCCACTTCCCTCTGTCCAAGACTCCCATTTATTCTTATTCAGTTGCAAAAGAAAATGGATCCCTGAAATGAATTCGATCTGAGATACCAACTAGAAGCAACTGAGAAAGAAACCAATAGTTCAGAGCTGTCAGCCATATGCCCGGCACTTTACAAAACTAGCTTCTGCATACATAAAAGTCCACCCAAGTTGGAGCTAACGTGTCAGTCACAACGCTTCTTTTTGGATGCACCAAAAATCAGTGCTGAGGACCGCAGAAGTATGTGATCTGCAGAATGTGGCTGGGTGGGAAGTGAGCAGGCATAAACAGAACAGTTTGAGTCAGAGTTCAGTTTCCCAGTTTCAGAACCCATGCAGCCAAGAAAGAGAGAAAACTGTATTTCTTAGGAGATGCTCCAAACATTTTCACATTTTAAAATAAGTTACTTAGGAATTTTGCACCTTTTTCAAACACTGTAAATAAATTACATACATCAGGAGGAATTTAAGAATAAAGAAAACTAAATTTATAAAGGATATGAGGTATTGCAAAGAGCTGAGCAAAAACATGGAATGATGATCCCCAGGCAATCTGCCAGGGAGCAATGTATGTCATGATGAACTGCAACTTCTGCAGTAGGTCCCACAGCTGAAAAAAAGAAAAGAAAAAGAAAACATGGTGACTTTTTAGGCACTAAGACAGTTTCAATACTAACATCTGAAAATGACACTTTTTAGAACTGTGCCCTGGAATGAACGTGCGATAAATAACATTGTATTATGAGCTTTCACGGGCATTAAGGCCTCTAATTTGGTAAGGGACAGAAGTATATTCTTCATTTGAAATTCAAACGTGCAATGAGGTACGTCTTTAACCACCACACTGAGGCAGCTCCCGGATTACCTTTCTTCAGAAGTATGTCTGCTTTAATTAGAAAGTGGGAAAACAGGTTCTGATATTTGCTGCATACATCACACCACCAGTCAGATGGTTACAGGAGAAGAGACTCCAGGAGAAAGTGGATATAATGAACAGAGGAAGCTCCATGTGCGACATGCTTGGCTCTGCACATGGAAGTCAGACTTATTTCTCAAGAACACTACATTTTAATTTGTTGACTCAGTGGGAGAAGCCATCACTATGTAAGCATATGCTTGGCATTAAGCATGAATTATAGCTGCATTTTCAAGATCAAAGCATCCTACCATCAAAATATTGCATTAATACAATGTTTTTATTGTGGTGCAATACAAATTGAAAAACAAACTGAATTTACTTCCTGTAAAATACACTTGATGCTGCAGCTAGCAGTTTCTAACTCAAGAATGATGTGTACTTATTCTGTAGAATACATTTTTTTTTTCTGCCAGCTGCCTTGGCATTAGGCCAAAACAGATCTAATGTCTTGCCTGCATTGGGCCATCAGATTCATACTGCAGAGTAGGTTCCTGACAAACTGTCAGGGAAGATTTGGCTATCAATAGACATTAGTGCTCACCACACACACAAGTTGACAGCGAAACAGGAGTATATGGAATATTCATGCTCACATAGCAAATATATGTTGAATTCCCTATTGTAAATTTTTTATTTGAGTTAATAAAAAGCAAGACACTGCCAACATCATGAAAGACATTGAGACTATATCCATAGTCATATATTAAACACTTCCAGGGAATGTTCCCAGGCACTGATATCGTGTATGTTGTTAAATTGTTAGAAAGGTCCCTGGAAAGGTTCTAGTCTGGCCCAGCTAGCTCTCTTCCAAGCAATCCCCAGGCATCCTTTTGAAAGAAAACCCTCCATGGTCCATTTTCAGGTGGCAGTTCCATACCTCCACCCTGTGTACAGACTGGGAGAGTTTACTAGCATGGACACAAGCTTCCCGGGACAGCTGGCCTCAGTGACAGAGCCTGGCCCTGGGCACACTTCTCTGATTGTCAACATACCAGTAACTGAGGATGCACCTTCACTAACTCACCTCATGGGTCCTTAAGTTACCACCGCCAAAGTAACACTTGGCCATCTGTATCCACATTGGCAATGCACTTACAAGATGTTTCATTGATCTTTTCTACGAATTGTTGTAAATAATTGCAAATTAATTGGGAGGGAGGCAAGAATGACTAAGAGCATTAATGTGTTTTGGTCTTTGTGCTACCAAACGATCACAGAGACAGCTGCTAATGCCAGTTACAACCAGTGTTATGCTAACTCCTGTTACAACTGACAAACCTTCCCGTTGAGATGAAAGCAGTGCTTCACGTGTTTTCTGTGCTTTGGCATGACTCCAATTAGGAGCAATATGCAAAATGCACATTATGTTAACTTTTCACAGGCACACTGTTTAAAACCAGCAAGGCCCTGATAAAAAACAAGCTGTTACAATCTCTTTAAGGCACAGCCTTGTTACCCCTACTTAGTTTAAGTAAAAAAAATTCATATCTTGTCAACTTTGTTCTCTCTCAAAAATACTACACGCGATTTGAAAATTACAACATTGGTTAAAGTAGGCAACTAAACTGAAACTAGAACTGGCTGTATTTGAATCCTGTTAAGCAGTTTGTGGGGTTGCTTTGTTTTGCTTAATTTTTATTTCTTTGAAACATCTGAAGCAATAGCTGTGAGAAAAATTGCATCTGCTAAAAGATTTAAGTGAAGGGCTGAAAAAGCTAATGACTCACATCTTAAACCTTAAAAATTCAAAGCTGCAGTATAACCCAGCAAAGTTCTGCCTGTTACAGATTGAAATCACAAAGCCATAAATCACCCCAGCAGTGCTCAAAGCTCAGGGTTCATCAAAAGGTTTTCAAACCTGAAATAAAATTCAGGTTTTGCATTTGCTAGGAAACCAAATCCAGGGGGAGACCATTCTGGCTTCTTGTTCCATTACCTCGTTTTAATAATTTTTTAGTATTTACACATTCTTGCAAAACAGACCATGAAGCCCAAGTTCCCTGTTGCTTCTAACAAATCCTACTAGTTCTACATTCACCACTGCTTGAACTCGCTGTTGTTTCTTTCAGCACTTGCCTCTCAGATAATATTTCCACAAGACAGGCAATGGAGCTCGTTTCTCTTTGCAGGAACATGAATGAGGAAGAATGCTCCAGTGAACCTCTTGGTTTCTAGAGCCTCATGACACAACACCTAAAGGCCTGGAAATGTGTGATTTTCAAGCTACTCCTTTCATTAGGAATTGCCAAGTACCTCTATTACCTCTTAAATTACTGCTTCCAGGACATGTTCTGCAAAACCCCTTGAGGGAAACTTGCCATTACCATTTTACATATCTAACTACAATTGCTAAAGGTGATGTCACCTAGCAACTATAATACAGAGATTTAGGAAGTGGGGACTTGTCTTTAAATTTTCTCTTTTTCATTTTGCTAGAACCCTCTGAAAAATATTTCTCCTTGACAGTTTTGCCCAATTTACAATATGCTTTCTCCTATATATGATATGGGAACTCCAAGGATTCACAAAGCACTATTGCTTTTCTCACAGAAAGGAACTGAGGCTGATAAAAAACTGCTTTCGTAAATAGGAGAATGTTGATCCTCAGAAACACTCATTCTCTTATTTCAACTAACTGCATTTCAGCATTCCATGATCGTAGGACACTAGCTAAAGAGGAAAAGCTTCGACATCTTTTTAAATTGTCAGAAACAGCACAGGATTAGAAAGCATAGGGAAAGCAAAAGCCCATCTGGAGTTGAATCCAGTAAGGAAAGTAAAAGGCACTAGGAAGGACTAGTGCAGGTTTATCAGGACCAAAAGACAGATTGGGGAAAAACCATGGACCCACTGCTGGGTGGGGCAGGGGATCTGGTGACAAAGGGCATGGAGAAGGCTGAGATACTCAATGCCTTCTTTGCCTTGCTCTTTACTGGGAAGCCTTCAGGAGTTGCAGGCCCCTGAGACCTGTGGGAAAGCATGGAGAAATTAAGACAGCTGAAGTAGCGAAGGATTAATTAAGGTTACATTTAAAGAAACTAGACAAGAGCACTTCCATGGGACCTGACAGGACACCTCTCAGCCCTTCTGTGATTCTGTAAAATAGGCAACGTATCCTCAGTAAAGTTTTGTTTCAATGAGGGTAATAACTTGCTCCTGAGGGTGTGAAGTATATTTTTTTACTGGTGCTACATGTAAAGGGGGAACCTTCCCATCTAAAGTGAAAGTGGCAAAAAGAAAAAAAAATTGTGCCAAGTTTTAGCCCTCTCTTTATAACAATGAATAAAGGATTAATTTTTCATTTCGATTTCTGCATCCCAGTTTAGGATGATTGCAAAAGACAATTTTTATTAAGCCTTCTTAGATTTTAAATGTTTTCTACAGTTCGCTAAGCAGAAAAATTATATATTATTTAGAGGACATAAAGTCCTAACATTCCTAGACACCTTTACTCATGTGACAGTTTTGCACAGTAAACAGTTTTTAAGTCTTTGACAAAAAGTTTAAACTATCAGTATATTCAGTGAATTTAAACCAGCACATTCCCACTACTGTCAACTGAAGGTGCAGAGCATGCATCCATCTTTCATATTTCTTTTATGTGGACACACACATTTTATCATCTTAATCATCCTTAAGTCTTCTATGAGTTCTGAAGCCTCAACAGACCTCTGGCGCATAAGCTAGTATACTATGTTTCTATAAACAAAGCAAAGGCAAAGAATTATCTTTTCAGTATTTCTTTTAAATTTGGTTTTTCTTACTCAACCAAATGTAAAGAACATTACAAACTAGAAGTTAATGGAAATCAGTTAACATACATTTTTGAAAAGATTTTGAGAGCCTGAAACATTACTAAAATGTGATCTCCTTTTCTCAGTTTGGTAGATTTCAATAAACTAGGCAGAGATTAACACCTGAATTTAAATAACACTGAATTTGAGATGGAGACTACGCAATGCTTTCAGCTTTTGGCAGCCTTTCTATCTGTTTAGCATCTGTTGGGACTCTGTGTGGGCAGACTCCTTGGCAATACTGGGACTAAATAATGCATAAACATTAACATTTTCTTGCTAAGCTTGAATTTTGCTGTGTTTTAAAAACAGTGTATGTACAAACTGGTTTTAAACAAAAATAACTGTCATATACATATGGCTGTATGCTCTATGTGCAACACAAAATTGAGAGATTAAAAAAGTTAAATACAGAGAGCAATTATTTCCTGTTTTGAACAGGTATTTCTTTATATTCCTGTTCATGTCCTGAGAACTTGAGATAGATTTGAACTCAGACTCTCAGATGTTAGGGAAGTATTTAGTTTTTCAGGCTGGCTAATTCTGGTCAATTGGCAACTCCAAGTCTTGGAAGTAAATTCTAATATCTACTGGTAATTTTTTTTGTATGTCAATAAAAATTAAAATACATTAAGAGGGAAAAGTTATGAACATGTACATGTTTATGGATATGAAACTTAGTGGAATAATTTTATTTTAGTTCATGGCTTTGCTTTGCATATCATTAACTTTGTTTTTTATTTAATGCCATTTAAAACAAACTTCACCTATGAAAGCCCACAAAACAAGATTTACTGGACATAAAGGTTTTGAATGTATATGTCTTAAGTCATTGTGACATTCTATTGGTGTGTTTGAACAGCGCTATGTTTGAACCTACAACAAATACTTTCCAGG